GAAAATTTAATTTATTCTTTCGGAATAGATATAAGACATTTCCGAAGGCAAGGCACATCCCATATCGAGCACCAATATTTAGATTCTTTTTGTACATCATTTTCTGATCACAGCAAGAAAAAGAAATTAATGTAGCCAAGTCTAGTCTCATGACTTGTAAATATATTTTACCTGCCACAAAAACTATAATTCAAGTTACAAATCGTAATTACTTCGAGTGTACTCGTCATTGCCCAAAAATATTGCCATTTCTTCGTGACGAAGAATGATACTCGTCATTTACAACCAAAAAGTTAATCCCGTCGTTCAATTACAATTCCCAACACACATATTTATTTTATCGAATCGTTCACGATCGCTCCTTATTATCGTTCGAAACTTCCAATCTTCCCGAACGCCCACCTGAAAATCGAACACGATCGCTCTTGCTGCTCTTACCAGCCGAGTGCGCGGAAACCTTCCAACAACTTTCGTTCGCGTAATCAAATGAGAGGAGAGTAAGAAATTGCCTGGCAAGTTATCGAGGCCTGGCAAGAATCGATAGAATCGAAACGAAGAGCAAAATGACGGAACAAGGGATTGTACGAGCAGCCCGGCATCCCGCTTACTGAAAGTTTCAGCAAGCTGCTGAAGAAAACGCGGAAGGAGATGGAAGCGGTTACCTAATTGCTCGTTGGGTGCTCCGATCGGCCGGGTGTATCGCGCCGGAACGCGAGTGAACTCGCGCGAAACCCGCGGCCCTGTTCGACCGTGCAACCTTACGCGATTATGCAGAAGAAGGTAAGCGACGTAACGCGAAAGAAAGAGAGAGCGGCAACAAGGGGTAGGAAAAAGAAAAAGACGAACGAAAAGGAGATACCATAAAAGAACGAGATTGGAATCAGCTGAAAGAGAAAGAGATGCCACGCACGTCGAGAATTCTTTGTGCCAAAATTGCAACGTTTTCTTAATTCCAAGTATATATAAATGTCGCCCAGGCAAAACGAGTGATAAGTTGATTACTTCGTGATAATTTCTATCCTAGGTGATATCGTACGAAAGTGTTCAAAAGAAAAAGAAAGCGACAAATTATTGTATACGATTATCGGTCACTCGTTATGGTCCGCGAACCAGTTGCCAGCGCAAAGGGGTTTAAAATCAGCGATACAGCCGAGATTTGTCAACGGCGGAGCGCACGAGGCCGGGCAATTTGTTGCGCAAAGACGATCGCCACGTTTCTTCGAAACTATCCCGCGGGTTTCTTTCACAAGACCCCATTCATTTTTCATCGTCACTGGTACAATTACACTCGTCGCTTAACCTCTTGCGCTGGCAACTGATTGACGGACCATAACGAGTGACTGGATAGACATTACTAGCGGAAGTAATAAACTTATTATCTGTTGCTGTCTGGGTCACATTTAAATATACTTGAAACTAAAATATACTTGAAAATATTGCAACCTTGGGATACAAAATTCTCGACGTGAGTAAACTTCATTTCCATACGCTCCGAAGAAAATTTGTCACCGAGATCGAAAGTCCATACGACAAAGCGCGTTTGATACACGATCTATCCGAAATCGGATATTGCTCCGATAACAAAACCTTCCCTCCGGGCCGCGAGACGACAAGGATTACAAACTTCCTAGCGACATATGCCCAGGCAAATACAGATCTAACAGACTACAGCCGGGGCGCTCTCTAATAACTTAACACCCGCGGAATCGAAACTAAACAGAAACAAGGGAGGACGGTGGAGGCTGGGTTCGTCCGGAATCAACCGCAAACTAGTAGCCGTAGTCGTGGCCGTGTAATCTGTCCTCAGATGTTGGAAAACGCGCGCCAGTCACAGGGAAACAGAAACTTATCTCTCGTCCCTCGCCGCCGGCACGAATTTCCCCGGAAGCAGACGGTCGCGGTTTCGCCGGTGCCCGAAGCCACTCGGCCTGGTGGTTAAAGGGATTTCAGCTGGAAACTGAAGCAACTCGACGACGAGGATCAAACGCCGAACGACGGATCAAAAGTCGCGGAACGCCAGTCGTGTCCCGTGTCCCTCCCACGCTTCAGAGTCTTTCCCGACAGAGTCGCCCTAGAGTCTTATAAATTATTGATGCTTCCCGAAGGTTTTCCTGCCGGCGAGTAAACGTTGCTCTCACCAACTCGCGTCTTCTGCTCCCTTCTGCTTTTCCTCGTCCCTTCTTTCCGCGTTTCTCAACGCGGAGTTCGGAAGCAGCGCGAGGAATGCGAAGTGGTGACTCGAACGCGGAAACGTCGAAACGAGACGACCAACGCGCTCTAACGACTGAATATATAAAGGCTTAACAATCGTAACACGCGAGTCCGTGGGTTTCTTGCAACATCGATCTCGAGGGCACGGCCAGCGCCCGGAGCTTCGAGGGGCTTATTACGATCTGTCTTACCTTGAAAACCCATTACGCGCAACTAGAACTTCTTTCGCGGTCATAAACTTTCCGTTTCCAAAGAGCAACGAACCGCGCCGAGTTTGTGCCAGGTCTCTGACGATCCATTGGAGAAGGCATCTTTTTTTTTCGCGATTTCAAAAGTCAGAAAAAAAAAAAAAAAAAAGAAAAAACAAAAAAAAGAAAATTTCGAGCGTAATAAATACAGGTGTGATAAATTAAAAATGGGGAAAAAAACATTCGGCGAGGACACAAGCGAAATAAATATTCAAAAAGCAAAGGGCGGAGAAGTGGAAACGCGCGGCAGAGCGTCAATCGAAACGAATTTCAATAAAACATATTATACCCTATAGTCGATGAGAACATCCGGCATTTACATTTCAACTTCCTCGTCGCTGATACGTTTTTACGCGCGACAATTTCGACGAAAGGTCGAACGATTATTTTTAAAGCGATTGGAACGCTTTGACCGGGACAGTAATCGTCTTGATTCGCGTTTATTTAATTTTCGTCGCGTTATTTTACCAGATGATCGGATCGTTGATACACGTTTGTCGATCAATTTTCCCACGCACTGCGCAGTCACGACTTTCATTCCCAGTCGAGATAGAAGGTAATTTAAAAACTGGAGAAGAACGAAACAATCACCGCCGCTGTTCCAAATTGATATTACTTCTAATGGAGCAATGCACTAACGGCAATATATCGCAGAATGTAATCCCGATTCAATTTTGTCGTTCAATTTCAAAGCTCGTCCAATCTCCACAAACAGAAATTCGTTTAATTGTAAAACGAAAAAAAAAAAATATGAAAAATTGATGCAACTTTTTGCTTGTGAATTTGAACGGAGACTACGTGTATCCTTTAAATTAAAAAAAAAAAAAAAAAAAAAAAGAAAAAGTTATTTAAATCTTTTCGCGTAACAGAGCTTCTTGAGTCAGCTACAACGACGTCGACGACGGATTTAAATTTGAAAACGGCTGATAAACACGCGGGACGAGATAAATCCCGTTTGCGCAAAGAACTCAGTTACTCAATCACCGCCGGCTGCGTTCAATTATGCAGAATCTCGCGAAATCCATTCGCTCGACAGATAGAGACGCGCCAATTTTATTCGACGTCCCACCACTTTCCTTATCCTGTATCTTCTCTCTGCCTGCCGCTGGCATAGTCGTATTAACTTTTCGTCCCAAAATTGCAACATTTTGTCAATTTTAAGAAAATATAAATGTAACCCAGGTAAAACGCATGCTAAGTTTATTACTTTATTTAATATTAAATATTACTTATTACTACAACTTTCAATATTATAAATTTTTCAAATATTTTTAATATCATAAATTTTAATATTACTATTATAGGTTAGAAATATATAGGTTATACTTTTAGAAATATTACTTTATTTAATATTAAATATTAAAGTTATAGTAATATTTCGAAAATTATAATCTATATATTTCTATATATTTTTAATCTATAATAGTAATATTAAAATTTGTAATATTAAAAATATTTAAAAAATTTATAACATTGAAAGTTATTACTATAACTTTTAATATTATAAATTTTAATATTACTATTGTAGATTAAAAATATATAGAAATATATAGATTATACATTTAGAAATATTACTTTATTTAATATTAAATATTACTCATTACTACAACTTTCAATATTATACATTTTTTAAATATTTTTAATATTATAAATTTTAATATTACTATTATAGATTAGAAATATGTAGATTATAGTTTTCGAAATATTACTACAACTTTTATTTAAAATTAAAAATTATCTTAATAATTTCCATCGAGTGATATCACACCGACGAGTCTCGGAAGAAGAAGAAAGCGACAAATTATTGTATACGGTCCGGTCACTCGTTACGGTCCGCGAACCGGTTGCCAGCGCAAGCGGTTAATCTTCTTTGCATTAATGGGCGACGGTATTTACCATCGGGACTCATTGTAACGAAAACTCCGGTTCCGAGTGTAAACACGTTCCGTCTTAATCTCCGTATTTACAAATGCGTAGACTGGCTTCCCGTTTCTCGGGGAAAACGAGAGAGGAAGGACACGAGACACGTGTACGCGGAAGCAAGTACACGGGAATTGTGTCGCAGAAAGGAGCGCAGGAGGAGCGAGGTAATATGAAATCGATCGATTCATTTGCAATTCCAAGTTGCGCTCGATTCGATGAAACGGATACTGCAACGCGGTGTCTGCCCTCCGGTAATACCGGCGGAGGAACTCGAGCAAATTCTCGACGTGACTGATCCATCGCGAATGCGAATTCGTGCTTCGAACGCTTGTAAAGCGTCCAGCTCTGGGAAGTACTTGGAAAAATTGCGCAAATCGACGTGACGGATCGATAAAGGTGAACGGGAACTTTGGATGCATTGAATTGCAAATTGCACGCGGCGAATGCAATCTCCGACGTATAACGATACGTTTATCGGCTAATTTCCGAACCTGTGCACGCGACGCCAGGCTCCGGTTCTCGAACACTTTGCGATCGATTTTGGCTCCGCGGCGGCGAGAACCGTGCAGCGTGTTTTCGATATGCCTCGGAGAATCCGACGTCGGTATTGACAGTTACCTGTGTCTAAGTTACGTCGCGACGCCAACGTGTATGCCGGGCACGCGTCTTTCTTCACCCTGACGTCGTTCACCGCGATCAAGATAGACGGCCGAAAAACTCGGGGCTCAAGGACTGTCGACCCCGAGTCAACGTGCGCCAAGGCATACCTTGGGCCAAGCCTCCGAGTTATTCTCGCTCTATCGAGTTATTCCAATCGAGGATCTTTGATCCAGGGGATCTCACACACCGGCAAATCGTTGCCGATCCACGACGATGGAAATTATCCGGAAACACCAAACTGTCACACCATCGCGAGTCACAACACTCGGATCGCTGTGCAGAGAACTCTGTGGCACTTTCGAACGAGAATCTTCAAGTTTCGAACGGTCACATTTTCCCGCTTGGTCGTTGGTCTTGACCCACGAAACGGACACGAGACAACGATACGAACGCGATGCTTGCTTGCCGCAAACTGACAACGCGGGACAATGCTGGCCGGCCGAGTCGGCCCGACCGCGCACGGAAACGGCCGAGTCCCGCTCGCAAGTGTTACGTGCGTCGACCGATTGACGACCGCCGGCCTCTCTATTGATATTTCCATGCTTCTGCTAATCCTTTCTGTCGGCGGTCAAACCGCCGCGAATTTTCCCGTCCCTTATCGTCCCGTCGTGGAAAATCGAGAATTTCGAGGCCCTTGCCTCGAGAATTTTGTCCAACTTTGTCGGGACACGTTCGATTCGAAAACGTGTCGTTTTGCGCGCGAAAACAAACAAGCGAATATGTCAGGGTTACTCATGAGTAACGTTTCTTTGATACTGTACAAAATTTCATTTTATGTAAATTACCGTAACGTGATTATTGTAGATGGCAATGTTTATTAAGTTTGAAAAAATTTTTACTTATAGATGCCATTAATAAGTTCTAGAATCACAAGCTACAGACAGGTGGTAATTTTGATTAATTTATTACTAGACGACGGTGGGTTTCGCTTCTTGCGGATTTTTCACCATTTTTGAACGCCACTTTGAACGCCATTTGATTAGAAAACGCGTCGTTTGCGCGAAACAACAAACAATTGAATATATAGTCACGAGTAACGTCGTGTTTTTGATACTGTACAAAATTTCATTTTATTTAAATTATCGTAACGTAATTAATGTAGATGTTCATTAAACAAATTTTACTTATAGATGTCACTAATAAGTTCTAAAATCACAAGCTTGCGAACTAAATTTGCAGACAGGTGGTAACGTTTATTGCAATTTATTAGCCGACAGAGATACGTTTCGATTGGACGAGCTTGGTACTTCGAATTTTCGATACGCGGGATTTCAGTGTTTTACTCGTTGTTGAACCATCGTTGCTGTCTCGTGGCTGGCTCCTCTTTCCCTTTGCCATAGAGGACGTCACGGTGACAAATGGCGCGAAGTATACTCGAGGTTAATGACAAACTTTCCTCGGTGTATCCCATTTGATGGAGGGAGAGGAGAAAGAGAGGTAAATTTTATTTGTCTCGAGGTGGCACTACTGCGCGCAAAACAGCCACTATATTGCCAACCGTTAGATCAAAACGTATGAAAGGAAATATTTCATGTAGGAGAATGACCAAAAGTGAGACAATAACGTACTGGAACGAAACGCAGCAATGGCGAACCTCTTAGTTGCGATACCGTTTTTAAAAGCGTGTGTCTAACAACGACACTAGACGACGATTATATTCGCCAGACAAACTGCTGTAAAATTGAAAGAAATTAGAAGGACATGACACTAGTTTTTTCTTTGAAAAATCAATAATTTTGTCGTTCAACTTGATTGATATTAATACTTAAAAATGACGTAAAAAAGTCTAGTCTCAAAATATTCTAAAACGTCCAAGATTTACAAATACGTTCTATTTCCCGTAAAACATTTTAATTCAAGTAACAAAACAATGCAGTTACTTTCCTCGCACGACGTTATCCGTCGTTACCCCCCAAAAAATTGCCATTTCTTCGCGACAAGTGTACTACACTCACAGCTAGGAAAATTAAATTCTAATTGCAAGCTGAATTGCCTCGATTTTTCTCGTTTGAAGCCTCTCGTCTTTCCAACGAGTACAGCTTCCAGTTTGTATCGCGTACGTTTCAATCGGCTCTCCCACGATTAGGTTCAACGAGAACACTCCTCTCCGTCGTTACACTCGTACGTTTCCCAGGACAGCTCTTCAAACGATATCCAACGATATCAATTTGTTCGCGCGCGTGCATATAGTACGCAAGGTGATTGGTTTTGTTAGACGTTTTAGCGAGACGGATCTCAAACTGCATTATGCCGGCAACAAGATCCAGAGCTGCGCGCAGAGGTATTACAATCAGAGATTTCATCGGCGTAGGTGCCCGTGGCGTGCGCCTCTGTCGAGATAGAGACGTCCACGCCGCGGCGTATCGGCCACTCCTAAGTTAAGTTACCATTACCACAGTTAGCGGCCGCATGTAAACCGGTCGTGAAAATAAAGCATTTGAAATTAGCCAGGCGAGCGAGCGAGCGAGTTCCTCTTCCCTTTCGTGCCTGCGCGCGAAACGAAACGAAACGAAACGAAACGAGAAACGAAACGAGCGGGCCGTGTGGCCGCCTGAGATTTGGAGGAAGCGGAGCAAGGGACCTTTGAAGTCGAAAATAGCCAAAAATCCAGCAACCTCCGGGGGACAGACGCGGCGAGCGTCGCGTCCGGTCTCGTCTCGTCTCGTCTCGTCTCGTCTCTCCTCTAGACGCGCTAGAAAAGTAACGGTGCCCAACGATCGTTGAACTTGCTACAATGTGACGGCCGCGGGGCCATTGAAGAGGGGCCAAACAGTGTACGGGATTCATTGTCAGCGCGGGAACGATCGTTCGACTCGGCTGACTCGGGGAACGCCCGCGGGAAGCGTAACGATGCGATACGACGCGCGAATTTATCGAAGTGTAAAGCCTGCGAATTATCAACCACCGCAGCTCAGCAACGAATCCACCGTCCGAAGGCTACGATTGTACCAAGATTAGAGGCGACGCGTCTAGCCTTCGGTTATTGGCAGAGTTTATCTCGACCCGCGAAACGAAGCGAGTGGCAACAACTCGATCGAGCAGAAAGGGTCCTCGCGGTGATGAGCTCAGCCTCCGATGATATTCGAGATAGCCGTACGAGAGTTACCAGTTGCGTAATACGTGTTGGCGACCTGGCTTTGGACGTAAGACCAAGTGATACGGACGAGTTCGAGTGGTTCGATCGGTTGATTACTGGCCTTGGAGGATCGAGTGATTTCTTTTTTCTTTTTTTTTTTTTTTTTTTTTTTTTTTTTTTTTTTTGCCAACGACTGGCAGGCTTACATCTCTTTTTTTTTCTTTCTTTCTTTCTTTGCTCCAGTACTCGACGGACCGAGTACAACGATCTTTTGCTTTTGGTTTTCAGTGCATTCGCCAGGGCGTACTGCGTCTTCAAGATGGAAAAATACGGTCGATGGAAATAGTATATAATCTGCGTGTCCTATATAATCCCGCGATCGTTCGATTGTTGCCTTTTGAATCCATCGTTCGGTAATCCGTTCAGACATTGAATAAATATCGACGTGACCATTGTATAAACCAGTGGTAAATATTTAGCCATCCTGAATTAATACACCACTGAATACATTTCGAAACGAGCGTATCCTCCCCGATAGCCAAACCAGTTAATATTTATGAACGTCTCTAACGAAAATAGCGTGGAAATCCTGGCCGAGCGAACGTCGCGTTGAAGCTCTTCTTCAGTCTTCTCTCAAGTTGAAAGAAAATTCGACTTTGATTTAATCGTTGTCGACAAAGGACTTATTGTTTCGTCTTGCTCGTCCGGAACAATTGCCGCGCGCACCGTTGTCCCGGTTGCTATTATCGAAACAAAACGCTCGCAGGTCACGTTCGTTGCAACTTCCTTGCAACGACATCTGAGGTATTACGCAAAGTTTCTCTTTCTTTCATGAATATTTATGCACGTACCATCGGACGCTGTAGGTCACTATCTGCGTTAATAACAGACATCAACGAAAATGACTGACAATAACGTCTCGTTGTTCTTGCAACACGACCACAACAGTTTACAACCGGCTAAAAAGCCGCTTCACAGGCGCTAAAAGTTCTGTCTGAAAGTGGTCACTCCACTTTTTAATTTCTAAAACGAATAACACCCCAGTTGCGAGACCAGACTTTTGCAAGTTCTATTGTTCGCGAGCGGTTCTCGGCAAGGTGCGAAAGACGGAGAAGCACATGGTGATTGGTAAAACTTACCGCGATAATTACCTAATTCAAAGACAAATGAGTGGAGCAAATGAAAAGACAGATAAGTGGAAATTATTACAGAATGAGACGTATATATTTAAGTTTCTTTCGCCTCATTTAATACACCATTAGTTGCGCGAAGCACATCAAGACGATACTCGATTTCTTGCCATGTTCGCTGTAGCATACCCCCATCAATGATGGCAATGGCATCAGTGATCCTCTGCTTCATATTAGTAATGTCCTGTACTTTTGTTCGATACACCATATCTTTAACATAACCCCACGTGGGTATCCATAAAGTCTCTTTACAATATCAAAAATTTATTACAAAGGCAATTGATGAGATATCTTCGTCAGATTTGTTCCGTGTACTTAGTGGTTATCAAGGTTTCTATCACATTGCATTGCAGGTGCCCTGTTGATGAATAAGATACTGTTAAATGAACCTCTTACAAAATGGCTACACCTGAAGAGAAGGCACAGAGTGTATCATGGTTTATTGAAACCAAATCGAATATGCAGACTCGGCGAAACTTCAGAACTAAGTATGGAAGAGATTCATCGTCACGTCCATCAATTCGTGCATGGCACAAGAAATTTATGGAGACAGGGAGAGTGTTCGATAAAGGGAGGAGTGGACGACCAACAACATCTGGGGAAAACATCGATCGTGTATGAAATCGAGTACCATCTTGATGTGCTTCGTGCAACTAATGGTGCCCATATAGAAATGTATAGAAATGAAGCAGAAAGAAAAAAAAAAAAGAAAAAAAAAACTGAAATATATACGTCTAATTTTGTAATAATTTCCACTTATCTGTCTTTTCATTTGCCTTTGTGATAAATTTTTGACATTGTAACGAGACTTTATGGACACCCTGTATTACTGTCGCAACGAGACGCTTCTTCGCGTTTCTACGCCGGCCGTTTGTAAAGTTATTCGCGTTAAACAAATGGCGGGAAGCAATCGCGTGTCGTTCGAGGCGATCGTTCTTCGCGATAACAGATCCCCAACGTCCGTTTAATCGAGCGAGCTGCGAGTTCTTTCGAACTGCCTCTTAAAAGCCTCTTTATCGATTTGTAACATCGACAGTACACGGTTTGCTTCTTGCTACAATCCTCACCAACCCTTTCCTTTTCTTCACCGTCTTCGAGCCGAGTATTCAATCTCGCGTATCGGATCATTGAAA